CCTTGAGACACAAATACGATTTGCGAGTATTCTTAACCGGCTATCTTTGGTTGGCCGCATCAGGTTTGAAGCATTTTCGGCTGAAATTATCCGCCGTACGCGGACTAAAACATAGCACAGCTTGCAAGAATGGCTAAAGCAGCATTCCCTGATGAGCGCATCAAACACGTACACAATCTTTCATCGTCTCACTTCACACGAGAACAGTTAGAAGTTCTTTCACTGGGACTAAAGTATAGGCTGCCACCGAGGAATGTCAACCGGATCAGCACACAGGTGAATTCTGAGTATCTGTGTGATCAACTAAGTGAGCTATCATCGAGATCAACTGAAGATGCAGGGTGGTTTCGTGCAAAATTGGTGGACATCGCGAACTAAATGCTTAACACACCGGTAAGCCTGGGAGCTGATAATTACAATGCGATCACAGAGTTGAAAGAGATGAAACATGCGGTCTTTTTACAGTCGGATAAAGGCTCGGGTGTTGAAATCATGGATAAAACGGATTATATCTCCAAGATGGAATCAGTTCTCGGGGATACACGTAAGTTCCAAGTGGTCAACAGCGTTGACACCAATCTTCTGGTAGAAAAGCAGGTTGCAAGAAAACTGCAAATCCTTTTGTTGCGTGGGTACCTCACCGAATCACTGTATCGGCAACTGAAGCCGATGGGAACACAAACCCCAAGAATGAGGGGCGCACCGGAGATACACAAGAAGGGTAATCCCTTACGACCAATTTTATGCATGAACAACTCTCCGTATCACAAGGTTGCTCGTTGGTTGGCGAAATTGCTGGAACCAGTTCGTAAACTCCTGGCCACATATTGTTTGAAGGACTCATTCGAATTAGTCGAGACACTAGACCATACGTCACTGCATACAGAGCGCATGTACTCGATAGATGTGGACTCACTTTTCACAAACGTACCCTTGCGCGAAACTGTTGACGAATTATGCAGTTTCCTTTTGAGTCAAAACCTATCTGTTGGTCTTCCTCCTGAGTACCTCAGTGACCTGATATTAACATGCACAGAAAATGTTCGGTTTGAATTTGAAGGATCCGCATACAGGCAAGTCGATGGCGTTGCAATGGGAAGCCCTCTAGGCTCTGTTTTGGCAGACATATTCTTGGGACTGATTGAAAGGACCATCGAAACACCATTAATGAAGCCAAGCTGTATAAACATTACGTGGATGACATATTAATCTTCACCAGCGATGAGCATTTTAACCGAATTGTCACCCAGTTGAATTCGACTCACCCCAATCTCTCCGTGTCGTATGAGAGGGAACAGCAAGATACCCTGCCGTTTTTAGACATTCTCATCAAAAGGCGAGCCGGAGGTACACTCCAACACACTGTCTACCGTAAAGCAACTTGGAGTGGGCAATACATGCATTTCACCAGCTTTGCCCCAGTTGCATACAAACGCGCTCACATCAGAACCATTTACTACAGAGTCAGGCGTATTTGCAGTCCAAAAATGCTGCAGAGTGAAGAAGAGTTCCGACATAGGAGTCTTTTGTTAAACTGGTATCCGGAGAAATTTATTCAGTTACCCAGCAGACCCATCAAAGAGAAGCTACCAGTACAAACGGTGAAAAATAGGATGTTTGTTTAATTCTAAAGTTCAAAGGGGACAATGTTTCAAATGAAATTGGTCATAAAATTAGGTCTGCTGTAACGCTCTCTTATACCACCGCGTGTCTATGGATCCTTCACACAACACGCAGACTGAAGCTCCACTACCGTCCGGACAGTTCGTCAGTCGGTATGGCCTCTCATATTATTTACCAGTTCACCTGCAGTTGCGGTGACGTCTATATAGGCAGGACCGACCGGCGACTGGTCCAAAGGGTGGCTGAGCATTTCCCAAAGTGGTTGAGGCAATTCATGGTACAACATGAAGGATCAACTGGAGAACCGGAACCCCACCTCCTCTATTACAAAGCACCTCGTGATGACTGGCCATCACGTGGATCCATCGAAGGCCTTCAAAGTGCTATTGATCAACCGTAACTCGAAAATGATGGCAAGCAGTGAGGCATTATTGATTGCGGTAAACCGGTCGGTACTATGAGCGCAAAAACAACTGAGGCAATCTATCAGCTTGCCTTGGTCTTGATTGCTCAACTTTGACTTACCCGTATAATTTCCTTCCACATGCACATACGTTAATTTTTTTTACCAAAATGAATTACGTTTGCGACTGATGAGAGTAATCGAAATGTTAACATATCGCAACCTTTGTCTTCTGTCTGCTTTGACCATATGGGTAAAGGGGACACAATGTTTCATAACTCACATTCAGTCAAAGGTTAACCACTTCACACTTACGCTGCCCTTTCATCCTTGGGATTACTACTAGTGTTAGGCCTATTCTGCACCCGATAGTGATCCAAATACAAACATTATCGCCAAGTCATATTAATGTCTATATGGAATACGTGCACAAATGGCCGCGACATTCAGGAAAAGCTGTAGGCAAAGGCTGGATCAGTTCCTTCAGCATTCGTTTCCGCTTTCTGTGTCAAAAATAGCTCTAGTGTGGTTCTATGAAGCAGCTCCATTGCGCAGGACTTACTGTCCGTTTTCCTTCTTTGACCTGAACTAATTCCTCTATTTAGATTGACAGCGAAGAAGAGGAACTGGGACTTTTCTCGTTCTCCTACATCACCGTAACGATGTCCCTCCACTCCTGCCTAACCAGTGGCTCCGTTGGGTTTTTGTTTTTGTCATTCCCTTGTGCACAGCTTTGCTCACCTCCGACTGATGCCACAAATCTAGATGGCGAGCGTATGTGGGAATGCGAACTTCTTGTGAGAATCTTGATTTGCGTTATTTTCCGAGCTGGCTGATTGGTTTACTAAATTCTCCAGGCTAAGCACTAGCGTCATTACAGCTACCATGGTCCGGTTCACCTAGCATCGTGAGATACCCTCAGATCCGAGTACTTATTAATCCGAACTCTACTGTGGATGCCAGGCTTCGACTAACTCACGTGCTCGTCGGTTTTTTTTGTTCTTCCTAGGGTTTTGGCATTCTCCATGTTGGGTTGATAGTTTTTTTAGCATCTGTATGCATTGACACAGTGATTTCTGATCTGACGGCCATTGCTTAGGCTATATATATGTGGCCTTACACCAAGCTTTCTTCCTGTTAGTCGAACATAGTATTTGCCATAGTTTCGTTAGGCACTGTTATGGCTCACATCCGATGTTTCTTCCTTGTTATGTTAATTTTTTATCCTGAGGAATTTATTTGGTTGTTGGACACCCTTAACGCCAATAACAGTATCGCTGCTGTATCAGGAATTCTGTTAAGTAAGGTAACTTGGCTCTCTCTCTTCAACCGTTGCATCTGAGATGGGGTGTGATAAATTTTGTACTACTAGGCAGCACAGAATGGAGTATTTTGGTACGAATTCCATTTGAGCATACTAAAGAAATAGTCTTCTTCCGCCTGTGTCAGCTGCGGTGTGCTACAGTGTGTTAAGACGCGCTCGCATTGGGTTCAGATGCAGATGCATTTGTGGATGGTGGTTACCGTTTCAGTTTGCGATGTGCTTATCAAGATGAGGTAGTGTGGATCTCCAGATCGCTAAATTTCACTACCTTACTGCGCTGATCAGGGCGACACTTCGTATACAGCATTGTTACCTCCCTTTAAGTGCTTACAATGAAAGGTGTGCAGGTTATCAAGGCAGCTCCTTCTGTGCCTTGCCATCTTGACGGGATAACTTCGCGCATTAACTCCAAATCCTCATCTTTTAACCGCGTGGATGGCGCACTTCTCACCACTGTGGAAGTCCCCGCATTTACTTAGTGCTGTGTGAATCGCTGTGGGATCTTTGCTGTTTTGATAATGATATACCAGTTCGACACTGTTTCGCGACGTTCAACTTGCAGCTTTAACTGGTCCCATGCATAATTTTATGGAACGGCAGCAGAAATGTAGTCTTAAAGGGGACCATTTTACTGCTCCAGTGCGGACACCGATTTGATGAATCCATTGTTGCGATTGTGCATTTGTAGGCGTTGCGCGAACTATCAAGTCACATTCTTCTTCGTAAACCAAGTAATCATGATCTTTGCATAAATTCGTCGCAGTTAGACACTGGCAGACGACCACCACACATCCACGAAAACGCTAGACGGCCATTTCGTCCTATTGGGACTCGTCAGTAGCGCGCACCCGCCGAATCCTGCCGTATTCGAACCCACGACCTTACTCTTGCGAGTCAGCGACCTTTGTTTCACTGAGCCATGGGCGACGGCAGCGGACCGCCATGACTGATAGCTAACTGCGATATAACGCTGCTCATCCGCCACTGTCTTGCATATTGTGAATGTGCAGAGGACAGGGCTGGTCCCCAGAGCAACGACTTCCTTTGCAAGCCGCAACTAATCGAGATGGCATGTAAGCTGCTAATGCGACCAGTGATTATTTGTAAGTAGTAGGTGGATTTATTAGGTCTTTGTGTAGATTCGTCTCAGCTTACATGCCACCTCGGTTGGTGATGGCTTGAAAAAGAAGTCGTTGCTCTGGTGGCCAGCCCTGTCCTCTGTGCATTCATAACATGCAAGACAATGGAGGATGAGCCGCGCTATATCGCAGTTAGCTATCAGTCATGGCGGTCCGCTGCCGTCGCCCATGGCTCAGTGACATAAAAGTTGCTGACTCGCAAGAGTAAGGTCGTGGGTTCGAATCCGGCAGCATTCGGCGGACGCGCGCTACTGACGAGTCCCAAAAGGACGAAACGGCCGTCCAGCGCTTTCCTGAGTGCGTGGTGGCCGTCTGCCTGTGTCTAACTGCGAGGAACCTACAGAAAACCTAATAAATCCTCATACTACTTACATATAATCATGATCTGTTTTCGCCTCTTCTTTATGAGTTGCTTTTCATTCTTTTTGAACGACTGTTCGCATTTCGCCATATTCAACACTGCTGTGCATCCTCTCCCATTGCAACACTGTCGTGATTTTACCACTTACAGTGAACGGCGCTGGACTTGCGATGGCCACCATGGACCTGATCCAGCTGCACGGCGGTAGCCCCGCAAACTTTTTGGATGTTGGTGGCGGGGCAACTGCAGCACAGGTCACGGAGGCGTTCCGCCTCATCACATCCGACCCGAAAGTTCACGCGATTTTGGTCAACATTTTCGGTGGCATCATGCGCTGTGATGTGATCGCTCAGGGAATTGTAGCCGCAGCCACCGAATTGAACATCAAGGTGCCCATTGTTGTCCGACTCCAAGGTTAGTCTTACTATTTTTCCACGAATCACTGTGCGGACTTGTAGGGCATACAGTAGTATATCCATCAAACCATCCACTTATGTAGCAGTGCGTGTGATACAATGTGCAATATATCGGAATACCTTTAGCTCGATTTGACCGATGTAGTGTTGATTTATTCTCTGAGTTAGGTTATTTCGTTACTAACCTTTCACCGCCAGTCGAGATGGCATCTTCAGTGCGTAATAGTAAATTGCTTGTTAAAAAGCACTGCGCCTCCGAGTTTCCTCTGGACTCAGCACTCCCTATTCACTAGTATACATTGAAGATTCCACCTCGTTTGGTGGTGAAACCTTCACAACAAAATTGCCCAGCTCAGTGAATCAATAAACGCTTCAAAATCCAATGCTCATGAATATGACTTCTTTGGGATCCGATTATTTGCTCTAGGAATTTTCGGTTAACACCACGAGACTCGACATAAGGAGTAAAAGATCTTTGCGTTCCGTGCTTCTGTCCCCATTGTCTTTAGTCGTCTAGTTTGTGAATGTCCCCATCATCCACTTTATTCTTCTTCTCAGGTACGCGAGTTGAAGATGCCAAAGCAATCATTGGAAGCAGTGAAATGAAAATACTCGGCTGCAGTGACTTAGATGAAGCCGCTCGCCTGGTATGTGCTTGACGGTACTCTTTTACCACGAAACCATTTGACAATATACAATGCCTATCGTTACAGGCAGCTCGTACACTTTGGGTCTCTCTGCTTATTTTTCCATCTTTGTTTGCTGTCTGTAGTTTCATTTAGCCTGTATTGTTTAGACCCGACGTTTGTTTGCCTCGAGTACCGTTGGATTGGGATGATCACGGACAAGGCCCAATGGAAATGTTTTGGCTACCTCGCGGTATTCATTGCGTTTATTTTCCTCCTCTTGAAGTACAAAGGTGAAATGTTTACTCAGCCGTTAGTACGGGGTATTATCAATGCCCCAATACTATTGTGGCCCTTGGGTTCAGTTCAGTTCATTTAAACAACTGTCATCCGGTCAGTGAAGTGCGATGGATCCGGTTCACTTCACCAGAGTAACAACAACTAACGATGGTAAGAAAATAACATCGAATGCTAATAGAATACAAAGCAAATGCAATTAGGATACAAGTGCGTAAAACTAATCGGGATGGAAAACTGACATCTACATGCGAGAGACTGAATGCTGGAACGCTACTAATATGTGCGACTGCTTCATGTCTGATAGAGTCCCCAAACACTGAAGTCCCCCATCAATTTCCTCATGCTTTTATGCCACGTCATGGATTGGTCACCTCGCGGTTTCGCCCAACTAGTTGCAGTGACGTTGTATAATGTACGCTGCAAGAGCCCGTTAACGGGCGTACAGAGGACGTGCTCTAGCGCTTCTCGAGAAAATCGTTGACCGAATAAACCTTTTACAACGAAAAGAATTTTTCGAACCCAAACATAGTGATGCTACAAGAAACTTGGTTTCATCCCCGTTTTGAAGACGGAGTCGTGCAACTCCTTGGTTATCGACCTATTCGGTCCAGCCCGCTAAGGATAGATCCAGAACCACGGAGAAGTGATCGCTTACATTAGCTAAGACTAGTGTACAACGGTTTCACAGCTGGCAGCTTACTCAACAGCTTCAACAAGCTACCATCTGTTGGTATGTAAACCAGTTTCTTAGTGGTTTTCTATATCTCGTTGTTGTGAATGTTTATATAACACCTGGTACAGCACTCGCGGAGATGAAAACGGTTGCAGATCACCTTTCTCCGATTGGTAACCTAAATTAATATGCTCCGTCTTCATCATCACTCGTGACTTCAGTAGGTGTGACACAGTTTTTATTGTAATGTTGCGTTTAATCAACTTGGTGAAATTCCCCACCAGACTTGACATACACTTGGATTTTGCTTTTACTAATAAACACAATCTGTTTTCCAAACAAAGATGTGCCTCACTTGACGATTGGGACCACTGCATCGTTAAGACATGTCTCAAGACTTACTGTAGGACCGATACGTTGCGAGGACAAGAATTTCATTCAGAACTGTTCAGCTCCTAACTAATTCAACAGAAACCATTGCGAAGCCCAAATCGACGCTCTATTCAACTGATTCCCAATTTTCACCAATGGGAACCTGTCAGTTCAATGCGAGCACCTCACAGGCTATATTGTTTGTTGCTTTCATTTATATTATCTCATTGAGATAATCTACCTTCGGATTGATAAGTATTTATCTCCACTGCTCAAGCAAATGTGTGGAAAAAGCGCATGCTTATGAATATAAGCTAACTGCCCGTGTCAAATGTCTGTGGTTATAAAAGTCGGGATAAGAAGGTTAAACACCCTTTACATTAAAGCAGTGTTAGGAAACCACAGTTGCCAAGAACTATGGAAGCAACTCGCCGGGAAGATTGCGGTGGCGCACTCGATTCGGGTGGATGTGGACAAGCTTAATGCAAACTCATCATCATCGAATACATTCCCTCTGCCTTCCTTCCCCATCACTGATCCTCCCACATTATTTGACCACATCAGTGTATACAAGGAGTTCACAAGACTGAAACCAAACAAAGCTAGTTGCACTGATTCTCCGTCACATTACAGTCACCTCTGACGGAGGTTTTCTGTCGATACTTAACGACTGGTACCACCCCCGACAGCTGGAAGTAGTCAGAATGACACATGCGCTTAAGAAGGAATCACAGAAATATCGGCCAATAGCTTGCGACTCAGTGCCGTTTAAGGTGTTTAACATCTACTTATTCTTCACATTTTCACAAGTGACCATACACATTATACTAAAAAGTTTGCTTACAAAGCAATGCGCTCTACACTGGCTGCCGTTTCGTATCATGTGCATTCCATTGCATCTGCTTTAGATAAAAGAATGCAAGTGTGCAGCTCCTACCCCTCGATTATGCCGATGCTTTTGGCAATCGTGACAAATCGTTGCTACCGAACCGTTTGGTCGAAAGCGGCGTTCCCCCAAATGTACATGATTTAATGCGTGACTGCTTTACATATCGCACACAGTTATATAATAGATCTTACGCACTCCTGCATTGGTGTATAACGTCTATCTTGACTTAACATACATGATTGAATTAAGAACACCAGAAGGCCTCTTGCCACAAAGCAATTAGTCGACCACAGCATCACTCACGCGGTGTTCCTACCGAATGTGAGCAATACTCCGTAAGCACTGGTGATCAAACACGCCAATCACTTGTCTCCCCCTACAAACTTACCAGGTCTCTGATTTATACATCTTATCATTCACTGAGAAGCTGATCTACCTCCTACCCCTTAGATGTTTGAGTCACTGAAAAGCCACATGGGCTTTGCTGTTACTACGCTTTAGTTGCTTGGCCTACATTCCGTTTTGTCCTCGACAACGTTAAATTTCACATTTGCGAATCTGGAATTAATTCTTTGAGCTGCGGCCGCATTTGTTTAACCCACTCGATTGTGCCTCGTCAGAAAGATAAGTTTTGACCCTTGCGAGGTATCTACCAAAGCCACCAATCTGATCGTCAAATGTCTTGTATGTACAAGCCATTACTCCGAGGAACCAAACGCTGTTTGCCCCCAATGGGTCTTTTTTCCGTGGGCCAACGGTCATATTGATCGCCAATTGCTGATCCATACTTCTAATGTGCCACTAACCGATACTAATCGTATCCACTGATACCACAAGTCCTTTCGTCTTTATGAATTTGGTTACTATCTGAGAATGTTCTCCTCGGGTGGCTTCTCTCTGAACAGTAATCGTCTATTGAGCTATTCTGAGACTCCGTCCTCGCAGGCTGCATGGGACAAGCATGCCTCCGTCACCTCCTCTTCTCGATTTCAAAATTGTTGCATCTATCCTTTGAATGCTTAAAGCTAACCTCTGATGACTACGTCTCTTCAGCTAATGGCTATCCAAAAATCTTCTACTCGGGTGTAGATAGCTTAGAATTAACCTGCCGTAGGTTTTAGCAATTTTCTCCACCTTCTACATAATTAATCCGGTCCCGTTGCTACACTAACTGTCTATGAAGTAATCACGGGATGTTTTTGATAATCGCAGCAATTTCAACTGTTTTGTCAAAGTGCATAATGACATTGCTGACTGCTTGCTTTGACCCCGAAATTTCCTCAGCACCTTCCACCGTTCGTAGACTCATCGTACCCTCACTGTTCGTTATATATGCTGACCTTGACGACGTTGCTGACCATCACTTCTCACCACAAGACAATGAAACCCAATCAGGCCTACTAAGAAATGAAAGATGTCTGTAGTTGACTATTGATGCCTCCGTAGCTTAATAACGACAAGACGTATTGTCCACAGCGACAAACCGCATGAACCTCCGTTGTTCCAGTCCTACATGCCGCATCCTTTCAGTCAAACCAGCCCACCGCCTTCATTCCACACTCGCTTCACGCAGTCAGGTGGTAGTTTGAAAATGCAACAACTACTATTCCTCTATGTCCTCTCAAACACCTCTATACTAAGCCACTCATCTTTGGATAGAATGACTTTTGAGCCGCGCATCAACTGCCACATTTTCATGGTTTTTCTTGCCATCCCGGCGTCCACATCTCTCTCTAACTGTTGCGTTGCCATCCCGTTTGCCCCACAGCAATGCCATAGTCAAACCATTCCTTGCGTCACGTTCTATAATTATTCTTCCAGTTTCATCCACAGTGCGTTTTTCTCGTATGACGATGTAACGCCCATAATGCACTCGCACTGTATACTTTTTCTCATAGAGTTGGATTGGCTCTGTTTAAACAACTCGCAGACTTGGCCTTCTGGGCCGTCAGCCTCGGAGGTTGGGGCGCAAGCGACTCTTCCTTCTTCCAAACATGGTTTTCGTATTCATTTACTGGGTTCTACTCTTCTACCGCTCGTTTGCTGTGTTTGGAGTTCTGAGCGATTTCTGCCGTTGTTCCACAGACGTACTATCACTAGATTCGTCACGCTGCGTCCGTGGTACAGTCACCAAAGTTCCATAGTATCCAACCAGGTTTTCTAGTGAATGCATCTATGAACACGGTCCCACCTACCTTACTATAGGGCACGGTTCTTACTTATGGATTCATCCTTGCCGCCACTTGATTGAAACTTTCACGGAGCCTCCACAATGCCACCTTATGAAACTCGGTTTCAAGGTCCACCTGGCCAATTGGCACTTTGTATCCCGCCAAATGACACTGAAAAGGGGAAACCTTTTGTTAAAACAAGGACCCACTAAACTGCTCGTCACTAGTTTTTGTTGGTTGCTATGTTTACCTTCGACTGAAAAAATCTTTCTCAATAAACTGTTTAGTGGGAAATCGGTCTTCAGCTCCATATCCTAGTCATTTCCCGGCCCCAGTGATTATTGTTGCCCGGATTTCGTCGCAAAACTAAACCGTTTCAAATCCCCATTATTTTCTCTATACCCGCATCAGCACTCAGTTGATCTCTTTCCTTTACACAGGCTGTGAAATTGGCCGATATCGTGCATTTGGCTCGTCAAGCTGCAATCGACGTCTCATTCCAGCTGCCCCTCTGAGCCTAAGTGATCAACTTCTTAACCCCATCCCTCCTCTTTTTCAACGTTAATTCTTTCTTTCTTTTTTCTCCTCTTTATGTGTCCCAACTCTGGGAACAAAAACGCTATGCGGCAAGTTTTCACTTGCCAACAGAGTATTCGTACGTGGTTACCACCTTATTTGCTTCTAGTGACCCACACACCTGTTCTCTTACTTTCTCCATTAGAACTCAACAAATTTCTTATTTTGTTTTCGCACCTGATTGCAACTAGAATTTGGTATTGCTGTTTTACCCTATTTGTAATGTCAGATGAGTGTATTTGCTTCTTTGTTGTATAACCAGGGAACTACTTATGTTGGCGTCTTTCCAAGCCGTTCTTATTCGCTTGCTTTATTTTGCCCTTATTTTTACGAATATACTTAGACTACTCATCAGTAGGTTGTTTTATACGTGCCATTTTGGCGTTCTCTGTTCGCTTCCGAAGTGTTGCTCGCCCGTTCGTCAAATGAATGCTAGCAAATCAGTACAATTATTCCGGCTACTGGAACGTTTCACCCTTACTCTTGGACACGCAGTCGAAGTGTTCTTTTGATTCTCACGACAGAGTGATCAGGAAGATCCAGACAGCGACCAGAATCAGTGGGTGGGAACTAATGGGTTTGTTCATGCGTGAATCCACGCTCGGTCACTTGAAAACGGGACTGACGGAATCCTGAGTCTTGTTGCCCTGCGGGATTGCTGTCACTCACATTGGACTATTTAGCTTTACCAGACAGGCACTCATCCACTGCGCGTATTCATGCGTCTCTGTCTGTGTCTGATCCTCGATTTTGGGTGGGTGCCTTCCTTGTTTAACCAACTGTTTGCACCTGTTTGTGCCAATCATGTCTTTTCTGGACTGATCGGCTTACTGTTGGTTCAACCGAAATGTGCACCTATTTCTTATCGCTCCATGTCGCACCTTTGATTTCCAACACAAGCACTGAGAGTCGACTAGCTCAACTTGTTCGGAAGCGCTCCCGTTGTCTCTTAGACATGTCCCTATTGCAAGAAGTCTATCCATGCGACGCAGGCTAGCTTCCTAACTCTTGTCACTATGTACACTTCTTCGTCCGGTTGTCTGGCAGTATCAGGCCCAAACATGGCCTGGTGCACGATACTTCCTCTCTCTCTCCTGTCAAAGTAACCCATCTTATCCACCGAAACCTATTAATCTTCCTGACAGCTTTACTCGTGGACATATTCACCCTGCGTGTGGTCGCTCTTAGTTCGTGTAGCGTTGCACATTTGACTCAGGGTCCCACGACGTTCAGGCTATTTCATCTGACTGTCCCTATTTGTACACTGGCGCCACTATCTTCAATAATTAGCGCGACACGGTTTACCGCGTATGATCTGAAACTTGTTCGTTCTCAACGGTTTGTTCGTGGTGGTTCGTTAATAATTCGCGACATTTGTAACTTGATGTTGATTTAATGTGTTTGACCCACTGTCCAGACTTACTAGAAAGTGCAGCGCATTCGTTTGTGACTGCGAAACGGGGTTTGACTAGGCTACCGGGTCTCATTGTCGGTTTTTGTTACCTGGTCCAGGTGTCCCTTGGGGTCTCTTCCCTGAACTATGGCAGGAGTGTATGCTGTCTCGTTCCATCCATATTGCAACTTGCTCCCTCAGAGTTTTCGGTCGAGTGAACATTTAAGGCACTCCCCAACCAGATCTAATATCTGCTCTTTGGAAATAATACACAGCAGCCTCAGTAATAAGTATGGAGAGCACTCCACCGATAGTGTTGGCCACTCCAATATTCCTTTGATGTTATCCACTTTTGGCAACACCATATAGCTTCCTTTTAGCCGGAAAATTTTGACCATACCCTCAGTTGGAGTACATTCGCTTATGGTTGATAGCTCACCGTTTGTCTGACGTTCAACTTTTGCTCATTATCTGATGAGGGTGTCGCTTGTGTAATCAACCCCATAAAGCGGAATTCTGCCGGTCCACAATTATATGTCATGGCAGTGCACAATATGGTAGCCTTAAACCGCCTGACCTAACCCTTGGTGATTTTCTCATTTGGGCACTAGTAGGCAAATGGTTGTATACTTGCTTCCTAACGCTTGACGACCATTAACTTTTCGCTCGTCTTAGCACCCTGGAATCTGTGCAGATTTATATTCCTTCTCTTTTGCGCCCGGAACATCGAAAAGCGCAAGCGTTTCTCTGCTCGATGCGTTCGTTTTCTCATCAATCATCTTAAGTCTACCAAACTGGCAGCGTCTTTTATCCTAGTGACCACGACGACTGTTTTATTTCGCCACGTTTGGACAGCAGCCCGCCTCGAAATCCGATAAATTTTCTCACCGTTACCCCCTAGCAATTACTTGTATTTTCTTGCCATTTCAGCTTGGCGTGCTGCCGTAGCATCGTTTTCACTGTACACTTCAACTTCTATGACTTGGTCAGTCATGTCATCGACCTTTACCCCACCGCTTTCATAATCTTCTCACTTATTTGGTGATAGTTGTTTTCTTGTTGATACCCATTTTCACCCAACTTATTATCACTACGGTTGCTTTTTGCTCCACCCCTTCACTTTGATAGCAAAGTGAGATGGCTGTGCTCCGCGACACTAGTCGTATAGTGTTTTGGGTCGTTCGGCACTTGTTGTTGCCACGTCTAGCTTTGTGTTCCAATGCTCATGTGTCCCGGATGGGCGTGGGATCGAGGACCAGCGTCCTTTGTCCTTGTGATGACCACCGCTTAGCGTTAGTGTAAAATGTCCATATCTGGGGGACTTTTACTCTGCTTCGTTTGTCATGACTGTCTTCGCACTCACTTGCCCATTTACACGTTACTCGTAGTTCATTCGCGTCGGCGGCCATGAAATTACCCCTCCTTTTGTTGTGCTTTGTTTTATTATTCGATGGGTGAATAGTGAGCGGCGCTTTATCACATCTAGTCACGACGGCCGTTTCCATACTCCGCAACTCAGTGGTCTTAACCACAGACTGGCAACAATCTAGTATCGAATTCGAGCTCCACGGGGGTCAGATGGAATGCGCATTCCTGACGATTTCCGAAGGGATGAAATGACCCTACAGTGCTTTTCTGGGTGTGTGATAGATCTCCAACTGAGTCTAGATGTGATGAATTTCTTCCTATACCATTCAGCTCACCCTATACTTCCTTTTGATTATTCGATAAGTGTTGAGGATATGCGTGGCACTGTACATGCTGTATCTCATCCTTGCAGTCACGTTGTTATGGTACGATTGTACTGTTTCATGCTTAACACTTTTTTCTGAGTTACACATTTCTCCTTACTGCGCATGTCGCGAATATTGACAAGGTGCATACTGGTCCGACGCCGTCACCTTGAGTACCAACTACGAGGGACGCTAGCCTTTGTCGGAGGAGATGGTGTCCGCGTGCTTCCTGAGGGGATTTCACACAGTATTGCCGTGTTATGGAATGGACTGCGGTTCAGCCATTGCCTCACGTACTTTTGTGGCATACTCTTCCATTTGTTTGATCAGGATGGGTGACTAGCGGATATCGGTCCAGTATCCCCACAGAGTAAGCATGTACCCTTGCGATGCGCGTTACATCCGCTGTGTATGACCTTTTGCATTCACTTCCGAACCTACCACGCGGAACCGCCCACTCATGAAGGATATGCATGTTAACAAAATTTAGGCCTCTGTAACAACCGTGCCCCTAGCTAGTATGCCTTCTTATCGTCTCTTTTTGCGTTTACTCTGATTATGGGATGATTCCGCGAGTGGTACAGCAAAAGCCACTCTCCGCACCTCTGTGTTTTCGTGCATTCTTCACCTGTTCGTAGCCACAATGGCAGGCATCCCCGGGGTCTAGTACGACCAACTTCCACTACTGTTGACGTGGGAAGCGAACACTCATCATTGTCTGTTGCTTTCTTGCGCTTTTTGTGCATTATTTCTATGCCTGCACTTCCAAGCTCACTGAGAACCTCCTACTCTATCCACCTTTTATATACGATATCTGTCAATTGGATTCGAACCGCGGTCAACACAGTAGTCCCTACTCCGGTTATGTCAGTGATTGCTGCCTTTGTGCTGTTGTGCCACCGATTATCGCACTCACATATCTACGCTGTCGATTTGGCACGATGGCGATGGATGTTGATTCAGATCACTTCACGTGTGCTCTGTATATAAGCTCACACTGAACTTTAGAAGCGGTCCAATACGACGACCTTGCCAATAGTTGTCTACCGTTCCACCCCAGTTGTTGTTACTTCACCTCGCGTCCTTGACACTCTTATCGGATTGGTCCTATAGCATTTTTCTTGCTTCGGTTTGCGCTGTACACCTATCGTTACCATCGGAATGGTGAACGAGTTGTGCTCAGTGAATTTTGCCATAGTGCGATTGGTGTGTTGCTACTATTGCTATCGATGTGCCCGGAAGTTGTTCGACTTAGTGAATGCTCTCAGTCGCGAAGATGGATCTGATCAAACCAGGTTTGAATGCAGTGTCGTATGCCAAGCTGACCTATGTTGTCAGTGAACTATATTCAACTTGGGTTATAAGTGCAAGGCTTCCTTCTGTGTTTCTGGGCGGCGTTTCATCAATTCTTGTCAGTTACACAATAATCATTGCCCACCGTTTCCATCGGAATTCCCTCTGTGTGGGGCTCAGGAGGATTCGGTGAAATCTTGCTACATCTACCGGCCTGCAGTGTTTTAAGTTAGACATTAGTTGCTGCAAAGGCGGTGCGTTTAAATGGACCGTTGCTTTTTTCGCTGACCATCCTTTTTACCTTGCCTACTGTGAAAATAACAGTTTCGCAAGAATACTCCGATGGGTTCTTTGCTCAAACAGTTTCCAAAGCCACTGAGACCGTCCCACTCCATCCACATTTTGAATACAAAGGCGTAGATACTGCGCTCAATTTCCCGGTTTACTTCTTTTGGGCGCGAAATGTTACTTGAGCTTAAACCAGTTACAAAGAAAAGATTTAATAAAACTGCCCTGTTGACTGGATGCAAATCCCGAAGATTCCGTTCAGCATTGTGTGGTAGTTGCTCCTGGAAGCCGTTTGCCAGAATGATGACATTGCACCCTTCTCAATTGTTTTTCCCATTTGTAAACTTTTGCATTTTTGACGGTGCCAGTTTAGTCCATCTACAGTTGATAAGGTCAAATGCTGAAAGTGCAACCAGTTGGGTACATAAAGCTTATCTTGACTTGACTTGTTAAACCGGATAACTAAATCGAAGTTCCCAGTCACTGGAAAACCTTGTGTCCGGAGATGATTATAACGAGCACTGCAAATCGAGTAGGTGCACCTATGAATGGGAAGTTAAATGACAAAACTCATTCAGTTGAGCAGTATCTTATGTTTGATCTCAGAGGGGAAAACCCTCAGATAGCTTTTGTAAATGGAAGCGTAGCAGAAGAGAGTGACTAAAGTGCTCTTTTGTTGTCATGTTGACGAAGCGAATGCGTTGAGCATGAGTTGGTGCTCGAAGCACATTTGATAA